TGGCATCCATCCACATCACATGGCACTTAATGCTCTGCTCACTGAGCTAAGGCTCAGCTTTTGTATCCTGTTTGTTTTTGGGTGCTCTGCTATATTTTAGGGTACTTTCCCCCTAGGACATGTCTTTTTGAACCCCAGAAAAGCAAAAAACACATGTGCACACATGGCATCCATCCACATCACATGGCACTTAATGCTCTGCTTGCTGAACTAAGGCTCAGCTTTTGTATCCTGCTCGTTTTTGGATGCTCTGCTATATTTTAGGGTACTATTTCCCTAACACGTCTTTTCGAACCCCCCAAAAGCAAAAAACACATGTACACACATTGCATCCCTCCAGTCATCCATCTTATATCTTTCTGCCCTGTGTCATATTCACTCTCTCTCCCAATTTGGTATCATCTGCATATTTGAGAAGTGTGCCTTCTTCCATCATCCAAATAATTGATAATCCTGGTCAGCTGTCTTGTGTTTACATTTTACACATTGGTTTTCTTTCTCCTGAGGCTGGAGGAAACGTATCTCAATTCCATCTGTTAAAACATTCACCCAGTTGTGTTTTTATGCTTCATCAAGCTGTATGCCTGTCGGCGGATGAGCAAACCTGCCTGTTGCCTTAAATTGCAGGCAACATGGCAGTTTTCTGCAGAGCCTTCCTCGCTAATAAAATAAGAACCACCTTTCCCCATCATACAGACAAGTAACTTTTGTGTCGGGTGCCGAGCGGTGGAAACGCCATCAGTCCGTGCAATGGTGTGGAAGGAAGGATATTGAAGGGGGACAGCTAAACGTATCGTTTGTCAACATTAGATCTCCTTTACTCATTTCTCTCTCGCTGGCAAAACTCTCCACAAGAAACATGACCTTCCAAGAGATTGTTTTTCCCGAGTAAGATACGAACAACTAAACAATATCCCAATCGATTCCACCCCGCAGCCCCTTTCATTGCCGGAACAACGAACGTTTACTCCTGTGTTATCCCAGGATGCCATTTTTGTGTTTGCACTCACACTAAATGACTTCAAACCGAACAAAGAGACCCAAATTACACACAAACACATGTGCGCGCACAAACCATATTCATTGTGAGGGTTACATTGACACTGAAATACAACACCGCCTGAGCTCTGTGAGTGCAGCATTTTTCCGAATGAAGCAGAGAATGTTTGAGGACCGGAACATCCGTAGGGAGACCAAGGTGCTTGCTTATAAAGCTATTGTCCTCCGGATCCCGTTATACGGCTGTGAAACGTGGACTGTCTACAGACATCACACTCAATTTCTGGAATGATTCCATCTGTGTTGCCTCCGAAAAATCCTACAAATCTCTTGGGAAGACAGGTGGACAAATGTCAGCGTGCTGGAAGAAGTAAAGACCACTAGCACTGAAGAGATGGTCCTCCGCCATCAACTCCACTAGATCAACCACGTTGTCCAAATGCCTGACCACCGTCTCCCAAAGCCGTTGCTCTACTCCAAACTCAAGAACGGAAAATTGAATGTTGGAGGGCAGGAAAAGATTTAAAGATGGGCTCAAAGCCAACCTTAAAAACTCCTGCATAGACCCTGAGAACTGGTAAGCCCTGGCCCTTGAGGACTGGAGGTCAGCTGTGACCAGCAGTGCTGCAGAATTTGAAGAAGCACGAATGGAAGGCAAAAGAGAGAAATGTGCCAAGAGGAAGGCGCATCAAGCCAACTCCAACTGGGACTGTGTTCCACTTGGAAACCGATGCCTTCACTACGGAAGAACATGCAGGTCAAGAATAGGGCTCCACAGTCACGTACGTACCCACCATCAGGACACCAAACTTACTCAGACAATGATGAATCGCCTAAGTAAGTAAGTAAGTAAATATATTGGCACCATCAGGAAAATAGGATATCCTATGTCTATCAAAGGCAGGTTGTAAAACTACAGTGAAATATTGTGACCTATTTGGAGACAACAGTGGGAAGACGCTACCAATGAGCATAGTGCAAAGACCAATAGTAAAAGGGGAATATTCCTTGAGTATCACACACATAAAGTGGTAGGAAAGGTGTGAATACAGCTCTCTCCAAAGGTGAGCCAAAGCTTTGTTTCTCCTATAATAACCCAACAAAAATGGAGACCGAAGCTGCTTCCATCCCCTTGCTGTCAAGGCTTTCCAGGCAAGCACTTAAATTAGTTGGCCAGCCTATAGGATGCATGCATCCATGACAAAATAAACTCCCGTCCTTGCTTACTGATGCAGGCGGCACTGAACGGTGAATATTTTTGTATTAAAGGCAGTCAGGGGTTGGACTGGATGGCCCATGAGGTCTCTCGTCCAACTCTAGGATTCTACGATCTCAAATTGCTGGGGAAATAGGATTCCATAGGGCGTCTCTCCTCTTGACCCGTGGAAGTTGCCCAACTTTGGCATAAATATAAAGTTGCCCCAGTTTGGCTGAATACAAAAGCAGAACCAAGCACTCTTTTCCTTCTTAATCTGCACACTTGCTTGCAGTATCTCACTTATCAGTTAGGAGGGCTTATAAGCAAGGCTGTGGTAGCACAAGGTTGAATTCTTCCCTACAGTAGACTCTCAGTTAACCGACATCCGGGGGAATTATAGCTGACAGATAACAGAGATCTGGTTGCTTAAGAATTACTATTAAAATAAGTCAAATACTATTTTTTCTGTGTCAGGAGCAACTTGAGAAACTGCAAGTCGCTTCTGGTGTAAGAGAATTGGCAGTCTGCAAGGACGTTGCCTAGGGGACGTCTGGATGTTTTACCATCCTGTGGGAGGCTTCTCTCATGTCCCCCCATGGCAAGCTGGAGCTGACAGACAAGAGCTCATCCCACTCCCCGAATACATGTCAGGAGTGACTAAAGAAACTGCAAGTTGCTTCTGGTGTGAGATAATTAGCTGTCTGCAAGGACATTGCCCAGGGATGCCCAGGTATTTTACCATCCTGTGGGAGGCTTCTCTCATGTCCCCAATGGGAAGCTGGAGCTGACAGGCAGGAGCTCTCCCCACTCCTTGGATACGTGTCAGGAGCGACTTGAGAAACTGCAAGTTACTTCTGGTGTAAGTAAATTGGCAGTCTACAAGGACGTTGGCTAGGGGACGTCTGGATATTTTACCATCCTGTGGGAGGCTTCTCTCGTTCCCCATTGGGAAGCTGGAGCTGACAGACGGGAGCTTTCCCCGCTCCTTGGATATGTGTCAGGAGCGACTTGAGAAACCACAAGTTCCTTCTGGTGTAAGAGAATTGGCTGTTTGCAAGGATATTGCCCAGGGATGCCCAGATGTTTTACCATCCTGTGGGAGGCCTCTCTCATGTCCCCTCATGGGACGCTGGAGCTGACAGACAGGAGCTCACCCTGCTCCCTGAATGTGTGTCAGGAGCGACTTGAGAAATTGCAAGTTCCTTCTGGTATTAAGAGAATTGGCAGTCTACAAGGACATTGCCCAAGGGACACCTGGATGTGTTGCCATCCTGTGGGAAGCTTCTCTCATGTCCCCCCCTGGGAAGCTGGAGCTGACAGATGAGAGCTCACCCCACTCCCCAAATACGTGTCAGGAGAGACTTGAGAAACTGCAAGTCGCTTCTGGTGTGAGATAATCGGCTGTCTGCATGGACATTGCCCAGGGATGCCCAGATGTTTTACCATCCTGTGGGAGGGTTCTCTCATGTCTCCGCATGTGAAGCTGGAGCTGACCAACAGGAGCTCTCCCCACTCCCTAAATACATGTCAGGAGTGACTTGAGAAACTGCAAGTCGCTTCTGGTGTGAGAGAATTGACAGTCTGCCAGGATAGTGCCTAGGCTATGCCTAGATGTTTTACCATCCTGTGGGAGGCTTCTCTCATATCCCTGCATGAGAAGCTGGAGCTGACCGACAGGAGCTCAACCTGCTCCCTGAATATGTGTCAGGAGCAACTAGAGAAACTGCAAGTCACTTCTGATGTGAGAGAATTGGGTGTCTGTAGGGACGTTGCCCAGGGGACGCCTGGATGTGGGAGGCTTCTCTCATGTCCCCACATGGAAAGCTGGAGCTGACAGACAGGAGCTCACCCTGCTCCTTGGATGCAAACCACCAACCTTTCTGTCAGCAGACCTCCCGGCACAATTACCCCATTGCGCCACGGGGACTCCAGCCTAATACTGTACCCCATAGTATAAACTCTGTATTGACTTTGTATTAATAGTGATATACAGCAATTAAAAGCAAATTAAGACAAATAAAGGCAAATTGAACGTAACACAGTTTAACTGTATTATATATTAACTTTTATTTTTTTATTTTTTTTGCTGCCGTTTGCTGGAGTTCCGGTTAACAGGGAGTTTATTGTACTTACTGTTCGAATTCAACCCCACACTGCCCAAGTCTCAAGTCCTCAATGAGTATGAAAGTTGGACTGTATCTAATTTCTTCTCTTTCTGCTCTCATTCGTTTCGACTGCAAGCCTTTTTGAACTATGCCTTCTTACACTTGAGTACGTGCTGTGTACTTTGAGATCTCTCTCTACTTGTGTGTCCGGAGAGATGTAGTAACTGAGTTTTTCCCTCTCTTGAAACCTTAGGAGAGATGGGTGTTAAGAGTAGCTCAGACACAGTTCTTGATAATTAAGAAATGCAATTATTTCTTATTATCGTAAATAATTTCTTTTTTTGAAAGATTGGACTCTGTATATTTGCCTCCTAAGCTCTTTACAGTCACATCACACAGCACTTCATGCTCTGCTCGCTAATGAGCTGATGTTCAACTTTAGTATCCTGTTTGTTTTTGGGTGCTCTGCTATATTTTAGGGTACTTTTTCCCTAACACTTACATGTATTTTTTAAACCAATTTTTAAAAATGGGATCCTGCATATTTACTTCCAAAACTCTGAATTCTTTACGGCCACATCACACGGCATTTAATGCTCTGCTCGCTAATGCTCAACTTTAGTATCCTGTTTGTTTTGGGGTGCTCTGCTATATTTTAGGGTACTTTTCCCCTAACACTTACATGTGTTTTTTTAAAAAATGGTACCCTGCATATTTGTCTCCTAAGTTCTTTACAGTCACATCACGCAGCACATCATGCTCTGGTCGCTAATGAGCTGATGTTCAACTTTCGTATCCTGTTTGTTTTTGGGTGCTCTGCTATATTTTAGGGCACTTTTCCCCTAATGTTTACATGTATTTTTTAAATCAATTTTTTAAATGGGATCCTGCATATTTGCCTCCTAAGCTCTGAATTCTTTACGGCTACATCACACAGCATTTAATGCTCAACTTTTGTATCCTGTTTGTTTTTGGGTGCTCTGCTATATTTTAGGGTACTTTTTTCCCGAACACTTACATGTATTTTTAACCCCCCTCCAAAAAAACAAAAAACACATGCACACACACGGCCGCGTCCAAAGGCAGACTTTTTGTTTTCAGCGGCACACAAATGATTGTGGCGCAGTCTGCTTGAAATGTAGGAAACCGCTAAAAGTCAATGATCTAGCAATAGTTTTAGAAGAGGGGTGCCGTTTCTTCGTTCCTAAGGCGTGGAGTACCTCCTCAAGTGGTAACTGTAGATCTTAATGCAGTGATCCCAACAGTCTAAGACTAAGAGCTGTCCCTTGGGTGTGATAGCGATGCCAACGGGGCAGATGAGTCCCTCTCGGATTAAGATATTATAGCCGCCCCCCTTGGGGAAATGCAGGATCTCTTTCCGGCTGCTGTCGGCAACAATCAAGTCCCCCCGGGAGTCAACGCACATACCAGCGATGCATCGAAAGTCCTCGTTCTCGGAGAAGAAGTGGCTGATTTGCCTGCCGAGCTGCCCGTCCGGGCCGACAGAGCCGATCGAAAAGCCCCCTTCCAAGTGATGTTCGTGCTGGCGGTTTTCGAGATTCAACCCCAGCCCCTGGGTGAAGTAGATCATCCCTTCGGCATCGCAAGTCACAAACTTTGGCCGCACCGCGCTGCACAAGCAGCTGTACTTCACCACCCCGACCCCGCGGTCGACGGTGAAACACCAAAGCTTTCCCCCTTCCACGTCCGTTACGACGAACTGTCCCGACGGGAGAGCCGTGATGCCCCATGGCTTGCTCAGTTGGCTCCGGTGACAGGCCACACAATGCCCGTCGATGGTGTAGACCTTCACTGAATTGTCGTAACTGTCGGTGACGCCAATCAGGCCGTGACAGTTCATGGTAACCGAGAGAGGAGTCAAGTTGGGCAGATCCGCACCTAAGAAGCTGAGTACGAAGCTATCGATGCCGCTAGGGCTCCGGCGAATCTCCTTCAGGAAGCCCTTGCGGGTGAAGACTTGGATACGGAAGTTTCCACGGTCGGCCACAAGCACCTCTCCTTGTGGGGTGACGTGCAGGCTGACTGGCAGGTTAAACGTCCCGGGCGTGCTTCCTTTGGAGCCCATCTTCTTGAGGAAGTGGCACTGCTGGATGCTGGTGGCCGCTTCGGGCACTCTCGGCTTGGCAGGGGAAGGGCAGCTGGGAAGAGAGTTGGCTTCCTCCTCTGCCACGTCGGCCTCCCTAAAGGACACCGAAGCCGCCGCCGCCGCCGCCGCCATCTCCATTAGCGATTCCTCTACGTTGATGCTTCGCGGTTTCTTCACCACTTGTCCGATCTGAAGCGGACCAACGCGGCCCACCTTCAGCAGCTCTACATCTTGCAGGGTCAGCTCTTTGGGGAGGCTGTTCATCAACTCCGGCTCCTCCTCGTCCCCCCCTTCCTCAAGAAGGGCCATGTCCCCCTGCTTGATTTTGGCAAGGAAGTAGTCGCACCGAGACACGATCTGCACCTCGGCAATGTTCAGCAGGTAGGCTTGCTCCTCCATGATCTGGCTGTTGACCTTCTCCACCTCTGAGAGGGAGTTCGTGAAGAACTTACGAGACCGGGCCAGCTCCTCTTGGACCTTGCGCTCTTCTTTGCCGTACTCCTGCAGGACCGCTTTGTACCTGACTTGGAGGTCCTTCGAAACCCCTTCCAAGGAGGTCTTCCGTTTCTGAAGGTCTCCCATCAGCTCCCGCAAGCGGCCAAGCTTGGCTCCGAACTCCCTTCTCCGCTCGTCGGCGGCCTCTTTGATGACCACCACGGCGTGCCCCTGCTGTGTATGGTCGGCCTCCTTACAAGGCTCGCAGAGGACCAAGCCGCAGCTCTTACAGAAGTGCTTGGGTAGTCGGCGTCCGCACGCCTTGCACATCAGGAGGCCCACAGTCTCGCCAAGGCCCGCCGTGTCGATGATCTTCAGCACGGTCAGGTTGTCGTTGAGCTGGGCCAGGTTCGTGATGCGCGTGACTTTGCTACAGAACGGGCAGCGGATCCCGTTGATGCTGTTGGCCAAGAGCTTCTCGGAACACTGTCTGCAGATGGTGTGCCCGCAGTGCAGCAGCTTCGGCCTCAGGTGTTCCTCGGTAAAGCACTCCATGCAAATAGGGCACTCCAAGACTTCGCGTAGAGCGTCTGAGTTGAGTTGCGGAGCAGCAGCCATGGTTGCCATGGGTAGGCTGGTTGCATTTATCCCAAACTTCTTTAGTCCTGAATGGGAAGAGAGAAAGAGAAGAGACTGATCTCTCAGTGCTGACATTCAGCCTCTACAGGATTCTAGAGTGGGAGAAGACCCCAAGGTCCCTCGAGGACAATTCAGGAAGACATCATGCAAATATTCCCAACAAAATTGCCATCCAACCTTAGTTTATAAACCTCATTTCATCAATTTATTTCTTGGATGGGACCTTTCTCAAGTTCAAACTTTATTTATTTATTATTTACAGTATTTATATTCTGCCCTTCTCACCCTGCAAGGGACTCAGGGCAGATCACAATGCATATATACATGGCAAACATTCAATGCCATCGACATACAACATATATAGACACACAGAGGCTATTTAACTTTCCAGCTTTTTGAATTCTGGCCACCAGGGGAGCTGTCGCTTCACCATCCACTTGTGACACCATTTGAGTACTTCCTCATTCTTTTACATGCTGCTGGAGAGTTTTATGGCATCGTAAATTAGTTAAATTAGCCTTCCTCCATAAGCGATACCTAAATTTCCTACTTGACAGATGCAACTGTCTTTCAGGCTGCAAAGGTCGACAGCAGACTGAGAACACAGCAAGCTTAAAAATGTAGTTTGGAAAGGCGAGGCCCCCAGTAGCAGAGAATGCAAGAAAACCCTGCCCCAAACTACATTTCCCAAAATACAATGCTCAGCATCAGAAAGACCCAATGATGGCTGCAGCCAGCCAGCCAGCCAGAGTCAATCTAATAATCATAAATAAAATTATTGAATCTGGTAAAGGACCAGCCCTCTTTGGCAGAGAAAGGTGATGGCCTAATAATAATAATGTAATCATAATATATAATATAATAGTAAAATAATAATAATAATAATAATCATCATCATCATCATCATCTGGTGAAGCACCAGCCCTCTTTGGCAGAGAAGGGTGATGGCCTAATAATAATATAATAGTAATATAATAATAATGAGGGCTGGCCCTTCACCAAACTACAACTCTCCAAAGCCTTCTCGGCCAAAGAGTTGTAGTTTGGTAATGGGCCAGCCCTCTTTGGCAGAGAAAGGTGATGGCGTAATAATAATAATATAGTGATAATAGCAATAATAATAATAATAATAATAATAATAGCAATAATAATAATAATAATAATAATAATAATAATAATAATAATAATCTGGTGAAGGACCAGTCCTCTTTGGCAGAGAATCATAGAATCATAAGAGTTGGAAGAGACCTCATGGGCCATCCAGTCCAACCTCCTGCCAAGAAGCAGGAAAATCGCACTCAAAGCACCCCCAACAGATGGCCATCCAGCCTCTGTTTAAAAGCTTCCAAAGATACTATTATGCCATCAGAAGGGTAATGGCATAATAACAATACTACTACTAATAATAATATAAAAATAATACTATAATAATTATAATGTGGTGAAGGACCAGCCCTCGTTGGCAGAGAAGGCTGATGGCCTAATAATAATAATAATAAAATAATAATAATAATAATAATGTGGTGAAGGCCCAACCCCTTTGGCAGAAAAGGGTGATGGCGTAATAATAATAATAATAATAATAGTAATAGTTTTAATATAATAATAATAATAATAATAATAATAATAATAATAATAATAATAATCTGGCAAAGGACCAGCACCCTTTGGCAGAGAAGGGTGATGGCATAATGATAACAACAACAACAACAACAACAACAACAACAACAATAATCTGGTGAAGGCCCAGCCCCCTTTAGCAGAGAATTGTTGATGGCCTAATAATAATAACAATAATAATCATAATCATATAGTAATAATAATAATAATCTGGTGAAGGCCCAGCACCCTTTGGCAGAGAAGGGTGATTGTCTAATAATAATAATAATAATAATAATAATAATAATAATAATCTGGTGAAGGACCAGCTCCCTTTGGCAGGGAAGGGTGATGGTGTGATAATAATAACAATAATACAACTACTAATAATCATATAATAATAATACTGAAATAATAATAATAATAATAATAATCTGGTGAAGGCCAGTCCCCTTTGACAGAGAAGGATGATGGTGTAATAATAATAATAATAAAGTAATAATCATAGTAATCATCACCATCATCATCTGGTCAAGGACCAGCCCCCCTTTGGCAGCTGGCCTTGTAAAACCACAACTCCTAGGGTCCCATAGCATCCAGCTATAGCAGCTAAAGTGGTATCAAACTGCATTAACTGGACAGTGTAGATGCACCCTGTGTCTCCTTTTCTGCATGGATAGATTCCAAAATCAGATTTGGGGGAGAGGAAATCCTAAAATAAAAATAAATACAGATCCCAGGCATTTGAGGACAAAGGCAGACTTGTATGCAGAATTACATAAAAGGGCTGATTGCAGCATTTCTTGCAAATCTCTGCAGCAAATCCATGAGGAATGCAAGCTGGGGGAAAGCTAAATAGGGGATCAGAGGCTGAGAGAGTGTGCCTGCCCATGGCACCTCTTGGGCATCCCAAAAAAACCCCAAAGCAGAGGCCCTTTCCTACCTGCTTGGCTTGCTTTCGCTTTGCAGGCTTGCTTTCTCCTTGCAGCAGCTGCAGCAAAAGCCTTTGTTCCTTCCTGGGCTCTGCGCCTGCGCAGTCAGTCCCCCGCGATGCACCGCCCTTGCGCCTGCGCACACGCATGTATACAAAGCTTCCAGGGAAAGCCGGGGAAATGACGTTCTTTCTGAAGGTACCGAGTTCGAATCCCGGGAAGGTCATTTAGAAGTAAGACTTTTTTTTTTAAAAAAAGGCTAAAAATCAGAATTATAATCTGGAGTGTGTGTATATATATATGTATGTGTTATTATATGAGCAAAAAAATAACTATGTCATACAAACTAACACTCTTTTGAGTCTAATACATTACTGTCTAATTCAAAAATGGAGTCTCAGTCTGAATAGTCCCAGATCTGATCACATGGTCAGTCAGTATTATAATCTGGGGTGTGTGTGTATATATGTATGTGTTATTACATGAGCAAAAAAAATAACTATGTCATACAAACTAACACTCTTTTGAGTCTAATGCATTACTGTCTAATTCAAAAATGGAGTCTCAGTCTGAATAGTCCCAGATCTGATCACATGGTCAGTCAGTATTATAATCTGGGGTGTGTGTGTATATATGTATGTGTTATTACATGAGCAAAAAAAATAACTATGTCATACAAACTAACACTCTTTTGAGTCTAATACATTACTGTCTAATTCAAAAATGGAGTCTCAGTCTGAATAGTCCCAGATCTGATCACATGGTGAGCAGTCCCTCCCACAAACTCTTAACAACATAAAGAGAAAACTGCATACCAATATACAAATATTAGCTTGGGTTATTTGGAAAAGTCACTTTTGCACCAAATGCATAAGGTTGTGGGTGAACTACAACTCCCATCATGCCAGGTTCACCCCCTGAAAAACTCCATCTCTACTTAAAGTTTGTGAAAAACTTGGGTTATTTGGAAAAGCCACTTTTGTACCAAATGCATAAGGTTGTGGGTGAACTACAGCTCCCATCATGCCAGGTTCACACCCTGAAAAACTCCATCTGTACTTCAAGTTTGTGATGTTGGGGAAGTTTGGGATAGATGCATCATGGGTGCGGTTCAGTCTGCTCTCTGGTTGTGGGTGAACTACAACTCCCATAGTGTTAAGTCAGTTGCCTCAAACCCCTCCAGTAGGTTGAGTTATTCATGGGGGTTCTGTGTGCCAAGTTTGGTCCAGGTCCATCATCAGTAGAGGTCACAGTTTCCATGGTTGTGGGTGAACTACAACTCTCCCAACCTCTCCAGTATTTTCAGTGTGCTCTCTGGATGCAGGGTGAACTACAACTCCCACTATGGTGAGTCATTCTCCTCAAAACCCCTCCAGTAGATTGAGTTATTCATGGGGGTTCTGTGTGCCAAGTTTGGTCCATTGATGGAGGTCACAGTGTTTCTGGTTGTGGGTGAACTACAACTCTCCCAACCCCTCCAGTATTTTCAGTCTGCTCTCTGGCTGTAGGGTGAACTACAACTCCCACTGTGGTGAGTCATTCTCCTCAAACCCCTTCAGTAGGTTGAGTTATTCATGGGGGGTCTTTGTGTCAAGTTTGGTCCAGGTCCATCATCGATGGAGGTCACATTTTCCCTGGTTGTGGGTGAACTACAACTCTCCCAACCTCTCCAGTATTTTCAGTGTGCTTTCTGGCTGTAGGGTGAACTACAACTCCCACTATGGTGAGTCAGCCCCCTCAAACCCCACCTGGGGGTTCTGTGTGCCAAGTTTGGACCAGGTTCATCATTGGTGGAGGTCATCATTTCTCTGGTTGTGAGTGAACTACAACTCCCAGAAAGGAAAATCAGTTTCCCCCAAACTCCGATAGTAATCACATTTCAGCATATCAGGTCTGTGTGCCAAGTTGGGTCCAGATCCATTGGTGTTTGGGTTCACAGTGATCTCTGGATGTAGGTGAACTACAACTCCCCCAAATCAAGGTGAATCTCCCCCAAAGACTTCCAGTATTTTTTGCTGGTCATGGGGACTCTGTGTTCCAAGTTTGGTCCAATTCCATCTTTGGTGGGAGTCAGAGTTTTAATTGTTTGCATGTGAACTATAAATTCCAGTACCTACAACTCCAAAATGTCCAAGCCAATTCCCCTCCAAACCCACCAGTATTCAAATTTGAACATAAGTTTGGTCCAGATCCATCATTGTTTAGGTTCATAGTGCGCTCTGGATGTAGGTGAACTATAACTCCCATAAATCCCTCCAAAGACCTCCAGTATGTTTTGTTGGTCATGGGGGTTCTGTGTGCCAAGTTAGGTCCAGATCCATCGTTGATAGAGTTCAGAGTGATCTTAGATTGCAGGCGAACTATACATCCCAGGACCTACAACTCCTACAAATCATGGTGAATTCTCCCCAAACCTCTCTAGTATGTTCAGTTGCTGATCAATTCCTCTATTTGCTGTGCCATAGAAATAGGAAAGGGTTAAGGGAGAGGCAGTGGGCGGAGTCATGCAAATTCCACAACAATGGAGAGAGAAAGGAACACTGGGATGTCTGTGGCGTAGGAAACATAAAATCTAGGATGAAATTGTCCCTGTATGAAAGCCTTCACTTGGGTGGTGGGAAGTGTAGTGTTTGTAGAGGATACATTTTGAAACTTCCCTTTTTTCCCAGAGGAAGCCTTTGCAACGCTGTTTTCTTTTCCTGGGTGCAGTGCCTAAAGATCTTGGCCTGCACTTAAAAACAATTGGTGCAATGGGTACCTCAAACAGACAAAAGTTCTTTCTCCCACCCTGGACATTATTCCACAGGTATATTAACCCCACTTGCCGAGTTTCCAACAGATCCCCCAACCTCTGGGGATGCCTGCCATAGATGGAGGCGAAACATCAGGAGAGAATGCTTCTGGAACATGGCCAGACAGCCCGGAACACTCACAACAACCCAATAATAATAGTAATAAAGATTGAACTGCAAAGACTCTGGCACAAGCCAGTAAAGGTGGTCCCAGTGGTGATCGGCACACTGGGTGCAGTGCTTAAAGATCTTGGCCTGCACTTAAAAACAATCAGTGCAATGGCTACCTCAAACAAACAAAGTTCTTTCTCCCACCCTGGACATTATTCCACAGGTATATTAACCCAATTTGCCTAGTTTCCAACAGACCTCACAACCTCTGAGAATGCCTGCCATAGATGTGGGTGAAACATCAGGAGAGAATGCTTCTGGAACATGGCCAGGCAGCCGAGAAAACTCACAGCAACTCAGTTTGAAGTATATTGAGGCCCCTTCTACACTGCCATATAAAATCCAGATTATTTGCTTTGAATTGGGTTATATGGCAGTGTAGACTCATATAATCCAGTTCAAAGTAGATACTGTGGATTACTTTCTGTGATAACTTTATTATTATTATTATTATTATTATTATTATTATTATTATTATTATTATTGGGTTGTTGTGAGTTTTCCAGGCTGTCTAGCCATATTCCAGAAGCATTCTCTCCTGATGTTTCACCCACATCTATGCCAGGCATCCTCAGAGTTTGTGAAGTCTGTTGAAAACTAGGCAAGTGGGGTTAATATACCTGTAGAATAATGTCCAGGGTGGGAGAAAGAACTCTTGTCTATTGGAGGCAAGTATGAATGTTGCAATTGGCCACCTTGATTAGCATTTAATGGCCTAGCAGTTTTCAAGGTGTGGCTTCGTACTGTCTGGGGGAATCTTTTGTTGGGAGGTGATTAGCTGTCCCTGATTATTGATTGTCTGGAGTTCCCTGTTTTTGAATGTTGTTCTTTATTTACTGTTAGGATAAACATACAAACATATATACAAACATATATATAAACATACACACATGCCTGCAGACACACACAGACATATATACACACATACAAACATAAACACACACATATATATACACAACCAAACATACCTGCAGGCATTCTGTATAAATAAAAATGTACTGTCTGTTGATATGGACTACATATCTCCTATTGTAATTCTTTGCCGCCCTCCAGTGGACACATCAAGCATTGCACCTTCTTGTAAATCTGATCCTCCATTGATGCCTTTTATTTATTTATATTATTATTATTATTATTATTATTATTATTATTATTATTATTATTATTAAATTTATGACATTTATAGGCATCTATTTGCCCAGGACTCCTATGTGTAATCTTTTGCCATTGGTTCTCTGGCCATGTTCCAGAAGCATTCTCTCCTGACGTTTCACCCACATCTATGGCAGGCATCCTCAGAGGTTGTGAGGTCTGTTTTAAACTAGGCAAGTGGGGTGAATATACCTGTGGAATAATGCCCAGGGTGGAAAGAACTTATCTGTGGGAGGCAAGTGTGAATGTTGCAATTGCCTAGCTTGATTAGCATTGAATTGCTTTGCAGCTTCAAAGCCTGGTTATTATTATTATTATTATTATTATTATTATTATTATTATTATTAACTTTATTTGTACCCCGCTAACATCTCTCGAAGGACTCGATGCGGCTTACACAGGCCAAAGCCTCAATAAAACAGCAATATAACAAATACACATACACCAAAAGCAAATCAAAACATTAAGCAATAACAGTAAGCAGTAAAAACAGTACACCGTAACACAATAAAAAACTAGGCCGGGCCAAATGTGATGGGTACAGATTAAAAATGGTTATTTCCTGCCTGGGGGAATCCTTTGTTGGGAGGTGTTAGCTCCCCCTTATAGTTTCCTGTCTGAAATTCCCATTTTCTGAGGGTTGTTCTTCATTTACTGTCCTGATTTTAGAGTTCTTTTAATACTGGTAGCTAGAAAACAGGGAATTCCAGAGTGGACCAACTAACACATCCCAACAAAGGATTCCCCCAGGAAGGAAGCATCTAGGCTTTGAAGCTGCAATGCTTATCACAGTGGCTAATTGCAACATTCACACTTGCCTCCAACATACAAGAGATATTTTTTTCTCCCACCCTGGACATTATTCTACAGATAGATTAATAGATTGAGAGATTGATAGATAGATAGATAGATAGATAGATAGATAGATAGATAGATAGATGATAGATAGATAGATGCATAGATACATAGATAGATAGATTGATAGATAGATACATAGATACATAGATAGACTGATAGATAGATAGATACATAGATAGATAGATGCATAGATACATAGATAGACTGATAGATTGATAGATAGATGCATAGATACATAGATAAATAGACTGATAGATAGATAGATACATAGATAGATAGATACATAGATACATAGATAGATAGATAGATAGATAGATACATAGATACATAGATAGATAGATAGATAGATAGATAGATAGATAGATGGATACATAGATAAATAGACTGATAGATAGATACATAGATAGATATAGATAGATAGATAGAATAGATAGATAGATAGATAGATAGATAGACAGATACATAGATAGACTGATAGATTGATAGATAGATGCATAGATACATAGATAAATAGACTGATAGATAGATACATAGATAGATAGATAGATAGATACATACATACATACATACATACATACATAGACTGATAGATTGATAGATAGATGCATAGATACATAGATAAATAGACTGATAGATAGATAGATAGATAGATAGATAGATAGATAGATAGATGATAGATAGATAGATAGATAGATAGATAGATAGATAGATAGATAGATATACACACACCCACACCCCATTTTCCCAGTTTCCAACAGACCTCTGAGGATGCCTGCCATAGATGTGGGTGAAATGTCAGGAGAGAATGCTTATGGAACATGGCCAGACAGCCTGGAAAACTTACAGCAACCCAGTGATTCCTGCCATGAAAGCCTTCTAGAACACAAACCTGAAACTACTTTGGAAATGTATTGTTTTGTGTTGTTCCTCCATAAATCCACTAGAGGGCAGTAGAAACTCACAGAAACCAAATGAAGAATGCCAAAGAGGTGCACATTATTAATAATATAATAATAGCAATAATATAATAATAGCAATAATAATAATAATAATAATAATAATAATAATGCTCTTTATTTATACCCCGCCACCATCTCCCCAAAGGGGACTCGGTGTGGCTTACATGAGGCCGAGCCCAGACAACAAATTTCAGCAAAATACAACTGAAAATGAAAACGCAAACAATAAACAACATCATAATTACATAAAACATATAAATACATAATGATATAAAATTACAAAAAAACACAATCGCAGTGACAATGGGCGGGCTACATGTAATGATTAAAAGGAAACTAATTAAAAACTGATTAAAATAATAATAATAACAACAACAACACAAGACTGGTACACAGCAAAACAAGATAACAACAACAACAAACTGGTACACAGCAAAACAAGATGATAATAATAATAATAATAATAACCACAACAACAATAACAACAACAACACACAAAACTGGTACACAGCAAAACAAGATAATAATAACAACAACAACAACATGCAAGACTGGTACACAGCAAAACAAGATAACAACAACAACAACAACAACACACAAGACTGGTACACAGCAAAACAAGATAACAACAACAACAACAAAAGACTGGTACACAGCAAAACAAGATAATAACAATAATAATAATAACAACAACAACAACACAAAACTGGTACACAGCAAAACAAGATAATAATAATAATAATAATAATAATAATAATAATAATAATAATTATAATAATAATCAAGCTAGTCAAGGTGGTCCCAGTGGTAATTGGCACTCTGGGTGCAGTGCCTAAAGACCTTGGCCAGCACTTAAAAACAATCGACGCTGACAAGATTACCATCTGCCAGCTACAGAAGGCCACCTTACTGAGATCTGCACGCATTATTCGCTGATACATCACACAGTCCTCGACACTTGGGAAGTGTCCGACGTGTGATCCAATACAACAGCCAGCAGAGTGTCTGCTGTGGACTCATCTTGTTGTGTTTCAAATAATAATAATAATAATAATAATAATAATAATAATAATAATTACAACAGCACAACAACAGAGAGGAAACAAACAAGGACATCTAATCACCTCTCAACAAAAGTTTGCTCTAGGCACTGTCAGGCCATTATATGCTAATCAAGGTGGTCAGTTGAAACATTCACCCCTAGCTCCAGCAGACAAGAGTCCTTTGTCCCACCCTGGTCATTCCACAGATATATAAACCCTTTTTCCTAGTTCCAACAGACCTCACTACCTCTGAGGATGCTTGCCATAGATGCAGGCGAAACGTCAGGAGAGAATGCCTCTAGACCAGGGGTAGGGAACCTTTGGCCCTCCAGCTGTGGTGGACTTCAACTCCCACAATTCCTTGAGGCTCGGCATTCGCCCCAAAGGCTTACCTTGGCAATGCCGAGCCTCAAGGAATTGTGGGAGTTGAAGTCCACCACAGCTGGAGGGCCAAAGGTTCCCTACCCCTGCTCTAGACCATAGCCATATAGCCCGAAAAAACCTACAACAACCCAATTTTACTCTACTCTATTCTGTGCCAAATCCCACTTGGTTGTTTAATACATTCCTCCGCTTATCTGTTTCACCTTAATTCTCTCTTTTTTCCCTTTTTTCCCTTTCTCCCTGTCCTTCTTCTTCCCATGAATTCCTGCTGCTTCCCAAATAGAAACGACTGAACTTGGCAACAAGAAGGAGCTGAAGTCCATGCCGTTCATCACCTACCTCTCGGGCCTCCTGACCGCTCAGATGCTCTCGGATGACCAGTTGATCACCGGTGTGGAGATCCGCTGCGAAGAAAAAGGACGGTGCCCTTCGACGTGCCACTTGTGCCGCCGGCCGGGCAAAGAGCAGCTTAGCCCGACTCCGGTGCTCTTGGAAATCAACCGCGTCATCCCACTGTACACGCTGATCCAGGACAACGAGACCCAAGAGGTGAGTGGACAGCGACCGAAAATAACATCAATTACACTTTTTTTCATGTCAGGAGCGACTTGAGAAATTGCACTATGTAACATGCTTATAAATGTTACCTGAGTTGGAGGAAGCACATAAAATTTTACTTATTTACTTAGGCTATCTCTTGTAGCTTCCAGATGTGGTGTCTTGGCGATGGGTCTGTAGGTGGTCCCGGTTGGGGTTGACTGGACACGTCTTCCTCTTGGCACGTTTCTCCCTTTTGCCTTCCGTTCGTACCTCTTCAAATTCTACAGCATTGCTGGTCACAGCTGACCTCCAGTTACAGCGCTCAAGGGCCAGGGCTCCCCAGTTCTCTGTGTCTATGCCACAGTTTTTGAGGATGGCTTTAAGCCTATCTTTAAATCATTTTTAAATCTCAGTGAAGTTTGGGTGCTCATCCTGACCCAGGCTTCAAACTGCCAACCTTTCGATTGGTGTGATGTATTGCTTCTGGTGATTAACCAGCTTGAGCTAAAGCCCGGCCCAGCTGTGTTAAAACCCAGCCCAGGTTGGGTGCTCACCCTGACCCAGGTTTCGAACTGCCAACCTCTTGATTTCTGTGATCTATTGTTGCTGGTGATTAACCAGGTTGTTTTAAAGCCTGGCCCAGCTGTGCTAAAGCCCATCCCAGGTTGGGTACTCGCCCTGATCCAGGCTTCGAATTGCCAACCTTTCAATTGGTGTGATCTATTGCTGCTGGTGATTAACCAGCTTGTGCTAAAGCCCGGCACAGCTGTGCTAAAGCCTGGCCCAGGTTGGGTGCTCGCTCTGACACAGGCTTTGAACTGCCAACCTTTTGATTGGTGTGATCTATTGCTGCTGGTGATTAACCAGCTTGTGCTAAAGCCCGGCCCAGCTGTGCTAAAGCCTGGCCCAGGTTGGGTGCTCCCCCTGACCCAGGCTTCAAACTGCCAACTTTTCAATTGTTGTGATCTATTGCTGCTGGTGATTAACCAGATTGTGCTAAAGTCCAGCCAAGGCTGGGTGCTTGCCCTGAATCAGCCTTTGAATTGCCAACCTTTTGATTATTGTGTTATTAACCAACTTGTGTTAAAGCCCAGCCCAGCTGTGCTAAAGCCTGACCCAGTTTGGCTGCTCGCCCTGACCCAGGATTCGAACTGCCAACCTTTCAATTGGTGTGATCTATTGCTGCTGGTGATTAACCAGCTTATGCTAAAGCCCAGCCCAGCTGTGCTAAATCCTGGCCCAGGTTGGGTGTTCGCCCTGACCCAGGTTTGAACTGCCAAACTTTCAATTGGTGTGATCTATTGCTGCTGGTGATTAACCAGCTTGTACTAAAGCCCGGTCCAGTTGTGCTGAATCCTGGCCCAGTTTGGGTACTCACCCTGACCCAGGCTTCGAACTGCCAACCTTTTGTTTGTTGTGATGTATTGCTGCTGTTGATTAACCAGCTTGTGCCAAAGCCCGGCTCAGGTTGGGTGCTCACCCTGACCCAGGCTTTGAACTGCCAACCTTTCAATTGGTGTGGTCTATTGCTACTGGTGATTAACCAGCTTATGCTAAGGCCCGACCCAACTGTGCTAAATCCCGGCCAAAGCTAGGTGCTCACCCTGAACCAGCCTTCGAACTGCCAGCCTTTCATTTGGTGTGATCTATTACTGCTAGTGATTAACCAGCTTGTGCTAAAGCCCGACCCATTGGGAACCTGTCCTCCTAGCGATAGTGTTCCTGTTTCCTTTCTAAATAGGCTAATGCAGAGTTAAGGGTTCCCATCTCTTCTAGGAACAGTGGCATGAGGATCGAGGCCCGGGGGTGGAGGACAATTTGGCAGATTGGCCCGAGAAGTCGATTTCTGCACTCTTTTTCTCTTAACCTTTGAAATTACTCTTCTGGGGAGGGTGATGCTGCTTCTCTCTTCTGGCAAAGCCGCCCAGTGAGCTGTTCTCACTTTTTGTGTGGGAGCCAGCTCCTAGAATAAACCGTCTGACAAACCCTGACAGATCGGTCCCCGCAGAAGCATCCCGGCCGCACCCTCTGCCGAGAGGAGAGGCTTTGGCAAAAGATAGCTGGCAACGATGGAATGTATGTTTGTATGTATGTGTGTCTGTAATGGGACACACCATTCTGGGTCTGGAAGGATCTTGGGGAAGGTAATTCCTTTGGGTTTCAAGGCAGGCACGAGCGAGGGGAACGAACCCCGGTTATGTGGAAAGAGGAGTTGGTTTTGCCAGCAGATAATAGGTAAACAAAACATGATGTAGTCAAAGGGCCTCTTCTGACATCATGTTTTCCTTTACCAGAACACTTTTGGATAGGCGCCTATGGAGAAATGCATACAGAAAACTTTATTTGGGGCTGGAAAATCCCCAGATGAGCTCCTACCATTCGTCCTCCCTCTCCAAGATCATACCATTCCTATATGCTGCAATGTATCTTACCTGGAGGGAAACAATTATTGACCTGTATCAGTGGTTCTCAACCTATTGGGATCAAACGGTCCCTGGTGTTGGCATTGTCCATCATGCGAGGGATGACATTCCCAGGCTCCAAAGCACTGGGTAGGGACATGCTCGCCACTCCACAACCCAAACTAATGTCATAAGATCTGATGCCCCCAACTATATATTGATCAATGGCAAACATTCAGTGCCATTAGACATACAACATATATAACGGAGGTTTAGCATAGCCGGTATATCATCAGCACTTGCAAGATCTATCAACCAAAAGGTTGCAAGTTCGAAGTCCCAGGTTGGCGTGAGCTGCCTACTGTCAGCCTAGCCCATTGTTTACCTAAGCAATTCGAAAACAGCTTTAGCTGTGATTAGAGAAATTGGGTACTGCTAAAAGCGGGGGAGGTGTTTTACAACGCCATAAAGAAAGACGATCAGAAAATGCTGGGTGACCAAAAGGAAGAAGTCCTGATGGTATTTCGTCATAGAGGATAGAGCAACAACACTCCTTGGACTCAAGCCCAACCTTCCATGGCACCTCCTTCTGTTCTGTCTGTACAAAGCGGCATTGAATATTTGCCATATATGTGTACTGTGATCCAACCCGAGTCCCCGTCGGGATGAGAAGGGTGGAATATAAATAAATTATTATTATTATTATTATTATTATTATTATTATATAGACAGACACAGAGGCAATGTAACATTCCAGCTTCCCGGCTTCATGAGGGTATGTTCCATTCTGGCCATAGGGGGAGCTGCCGCTTCACCATGCACTTGTGGTACCGAGTCCTTGATGGAGTACTTCCTCATTCTTATGCACACTGCTGGAAGATTTTATGGTGTCGTAAATTCGTTAAATTAATCTCCCCGTATAGCGGTACCTAAATTTCCTACTTGACAAATTCAACTATCTTTCGGGCTGCATAGGTCAACAGCAAGCTAGATGAATGGCTGGAAGCTCACTCCGACCTGGGCTGGTTTTGAAGTCATGACCTCTCGGTCAGTAGTGAATTTAATGCAGCTAGTTCTCAGCTAACTACATTTCCATTATTTTACTCTATTATTATTATTATTATTTTTACTCTATTATTATTATTATTATTATTATTACATTTCCATTACTAGCCATCCCCTGCCACGTGTTGCTGTGGCCCAGTCTATGTATTTTGTGTGTGTATATATGTGTATATGTGTGTGTTGTACCATCTTTAGATCCTGTTGGACAAGTGAGTGCAACTCCTTTTCACATTTGCAGGAGGGAGATTTGCAGATTTAGCAGATAACATGCAAATCATGTTCTAAAAGCAGCCCCCCCCCCCCATTTCAATGTGAGATATGTTACCCAAAACTTTCTTTATTGCAGATCTATCTATCTATCTATCTATCTATCTATCTATCTATCTATCTATCTATCTAAAAATGCTCTGTACATAATGAGTTCCTTAAAAACAAAAGAACCAATGAATGAAATCACACCAAATTTGGCAACAAAATTTCTCACAACACAAGGAGTGACCATCACTCAAAAATTATGATTTTGTCATTTGGGAGTTGTAGTTCCTGGGATTTATAGTTCACCTACAATCAAAGAGCATTCTGAACTCCACCAATGATGGAATTGGGCCAAACTTAGCACACAGGGCTCCCATGACCAACAGAAAAAACTGGAAAGGTTTGGTGGACATTGACCTTGAGTTTGGGAATTATAGTTCACCCACATCCAGAGAGCACTGTGGACTCAAACAATGATGGATCTGGACCAAACTTGGCACGAATATTCCATATGCCCAAATATGAACACAGATGGAGTTTAAGGGAAATAGAACTTGACATTTGGGAGTTGTAGTTGCTGGGATTTATAGTTCACCTACAATCAAAGAGCATTCTGAACTCCACCAATGATGGAATTCAACCAAACATGGCATACAGGACTTCCATGACCAACAGAACACACTGGAAGGGTTTGGTGGGCATTGACCTTGAGTTTGGAAGTTGTAGTTCACCTACATCCAGAGAGCACTGTGGACTCAAACAATGATCTGGACCAAACTTGACACAAAAATTCCATATGCCTAAATATGAACACAGATGGAGTTTGGAGGAAATAGACCTTGACATTTGAGATTTGTACGTACTGGGATTTATAGTTCACTACAATTAAAGAGCATTCTGACACCCACAAACGACAGAAATGGGGCAAACTTCCCACACAGAACCCCCAATTCCATCATTGGTGTTGGTCATGGGGGACCAACAGAAAATACTTAAGGCCATCCAGTCCAACTCTCTTCACCAGGGCAAGAAAATGTAATCAGAGCCCTCCTGACAAAGAGCCATCCAGTCATAAATATAGATAGATAGATATGATTCTCTCTCTCACACACAGATATAATATCACAGATGGGCCAAAACTAAAAAATGAAGTTCAACAGTGACAAATGCAAGATACTCCACTTTGGCAGGAAAAACGAAATGCAAAGAGACAGAATGGGGGACAATGCCTGGCTCGAGAGCAGTACGTGTGAAAAAGATCTTGGAGTCCTCGTGGACAACAAGTTA